CAAAGGACTCTGGGCAGTGTACAACATCCCCACCCCCATCCCAAAAAAGAAGAGAAAAGCATAATGAATAACTAAATCCAAATCCATATCAAAAACAAAAACAAACCACCAAAAAGCAAGGATAAAACCAAGATAGTTGCCTATAGCCATACAGCTGGGGCCAAAAGCATGTTGAAATAAATCAGTTTTAACTAGTTTATGGAATTTCAGGAAAGTGGGAACTGCTTGGATTTGGGGGGGAACTGTATCTCAAAAGGTAGGGGCTCTTACAGAACACTGTAATAACCTCACGAGGGGTGAGAACTTTCAGGTCATCTCTTGAGGACCAGCCTGAATGGACAGATTCAATTTTGCAAGGTATTGCCTTATATATCCTGGTACTGCACTGTTTAGGGTTTTTTACCTTTACCACCAGCATTTTGGTCTGAAAATCTACTGGCAAGCAATACAGTGACTTTAGTAGAGGTATAATGGGAAGGGTTAGAGCAGAATGTCCATTAAATCCAAATGGGATTTTATGCATCCATTGTTTATCTGTACATAAAATGGTAAACACATGAGCAGAAACATATCACGCACAGATTTTTTTTCTGTTACATTTGATCTCCATTGAGGTCTGACACATTAAATCAAGGATTCATGAATTTTTAAGTTTTGACAGACCACATTCTGAAATGTAAATATAGATGCCCTTATTACTTATTTTAAACAGAAATAGTAAATTACATAACTATTTGAACTGAAAAAAAGTTACACAACTTCTGTTACTATCATTAAAAATTCAACTGCTGCAACTTCCGGTGAGGATTCATGGCGAAGTAGATGTCTCCAAGGGAGTGGAGACGGCATTGTGGTGAGATTGGCGGCCAGACAGCATTCTTCTGGCTGGCCAAGTCTCTCCAGATAAAGGAGAGATTGTGAGATCGCCCACTTGCATTCTGGACAGCTGCTCCTCATGAGTAAATTGCAGGACCTGAGGTTTCCACAGTGGCTTGTGAGTTGAGTCGCTGGGAATCGAGGGATTTCCACCAAACTCACAGCTACAATGTAGCCTTATGGACACAAAGTTCTGCCGAGCCTCATTTCTTAATCACTTTTGAAAATTGCTTATTAACTGCTTTTCAACTATTAAGAACCTTTCAAACGACAAGTTTTATAACATGCACCGGGTGAATTTCCTTTAATCCTCAACGAAAGAACTTTTAAAGATAAGTTTAAGGACATAAAAAAACCTTTTTGGGGGGGAATAAACAGCAAAAGGGTAATTAAAACATCGATTTTGGAAAGCTACAAACAGACTAAGGGTTCAGATGGATTTGAAATAAGATTCTGAAATTAATCATAAGAATCCTTCCTGTGGGAAAATGCTGTTGTTTTGAATTCTTAAAAAAAATTATAGGATGGGAATTTGAATGTTGGACACTAGAGGGAACCAGAAGGAACTAAAGATTACAGTTAAAGGAGGAGAATACTTAAATTTGACTTACTAATATAGAATGGAGCAAAATATTTTAACACTGGATGTATTCGAGAATATTGTAAGCAATGGATCCAGAAGTTAACATTAAAAGTGTCTGCCATTATAGATAGACTGCTTTTAAAAGATGTTATGGAAGAGGAACAAGTTTTACCTGACAAGACTGAGAGTGATCTGAAAGTGTATTCAAAAATGACAAGCTACAAGAATGATATGGAAAAAGATGTTACACTGGATATACAAATGAAGCCAGCTGATGTCTTAATAATTAAAAGAGATATACAAATGGCAAACCAAAAGAGTGACTAGGATAACTTTCTTATGTTGGATTTACAAAAGAGATCTGTTAAAGTTTGGAAGTATTCTGTGAGAAGGGACAAATTAAAAATGAAAAGAAAAGAAGCTCTAGGACATGATTTGAAGTGAATAAAGATCAAGATTGTTAAAAGGAGGAAATATAAAGTGGGTTTATTTGATCAAGGTTAAAATAGATATGTCATTTCTGGTAATCCTAATGGATTTTTGCTGACCAGGACTGAATGGCAAGGTTGTAAGGATCTGTTTATAGATAAGAAATGAGATATGGGATGAAGAGATCATTTATTGTATTTTAAAAGAAGGTGATAAGTTGTTAAAATTGCTTATGCTTGTGATGAAGGGGTAAGTCACTTCCTAATATATTTTTCTTTTTCTTTGCTATATTTTTCTTTTTCCTGTTCTATTTTAATTTCTATCTATAATTTTTCTGCACTCTGTTTTTTTCTTTTTTGCAGTTTGTATTAGTTTTTATTTGTTTAACTATAATGTTTAATAAAAGTATTATAAAAAATTCAACTGCCAATTGGGACACATTTTTCAATAATAAAAAATATTATGCAGCAAAATAAAGGCCCATAGTTTAGTGATGGACCCTTATAATCCATATTGTTTCAGGTTAGTTTTTCATGTCTTTGGCTAATGCACTGGTGGTTGATCTTTTGATCACCAGTGGCCTTGCTTAATATATTTTGGGTGGCTAAGACAGAGATTTTTCTGGTTTTCTTTTATTGGGTTTATGGGAAAAGTTTAGGATTTTTGTTGTTGTTATTTAATTATGTGAAGCCATAAGGCTTAACAATTAGAGTTTCTCAGTGTTTCCCATCTCAACATGTCAGAAAACAATGCAAGTAATTTTTAGTAACTGTGGTAAGTGGTTACTTAGATGTGCAAAAAAGGGGTAACAATGCCTGTTTCCAAGTTGACTCAGTCTAATATTTGCTGCACATTTTCTTAAATTCCTCCCCCAACATAAGACAGCAAGGAGAGAAGGCATTTCATGACTAAAGCATGAGATGAGTGACTCTTGCTCTTCATTTACATTTCTCAGCTGGCCTCTTATGCACAGGAAATCTAGGCTACTGAATAGGAAGAACTTTATGCTCTAAAGTCTTGTGTATATGATGGAGAGCTATCAAAGAACTCTCTTCCTGCACAGAGAACTCCCCTATCTTGGATAGGGCCATTATTTGCAATGAGATGAACAAAGCCAACCCAAAACTTAGGCCAAGGAAACAGTGCCAAAGAAGTGTAATGATAATTGTGTCAATTTTGCTCTACTGCTCACATTTTCTGGTGACTCTTTCCATGAAGACAGCTGCTCCAGCAAATCCAAGCTATCTTTATCATGTTTAAAGTTGCTGGACTGCAGACAAAGAGTTGACAAATTATAGTCATTCTTTAAGAATTACATTTTCATGTACCGGATTACTAAGAATTGCACAAGGGAGACCTGGTAACTTCAATAACATCACAAAGACTTAAACATTGCTAATTTGCCAGTCACAGATCATCTATTTATAAACTGCATGGTTTATGTACTTAATCAAATTATTAAGAAGGCATATTATACTTAGATTTTTAAAAATCTACTTTTACCTATCCTGAATCTTTTTGCAATAGGGTAGATTACAAAACAATTAAGAAAATATATTTCATTTCTCATGAAAGTTACCTGGGGTTGTACTGGTGAATAAGGACTCCCAGATTCTCCACTTAGTAGAGTTTCACTGTTCATTTTAGTCTTTAGACATGCAATATAGCGACTACAAAAATCTTTACAGAGCTCATTAACTTTTTCTAGCTCAAGCAGATGAATTCGTAGAACCTGAATTGCTTTTACCATCTAAGGATAAACAAAGAGAACTTTGAAACAAGGTACAAAAATGTCTGCACATCATTTATATTGAGTGACTATACTGTATATATATACTGTCTCCTCAACATGGTTTACGATAAAAATCAGCAATTATAATTTACAACCATTAAAATGTTCATTGAAAGATGTTCTTAAATACACAGAATAAGGAATAAAATAACAAAACAATAATAATAGTAATAATAAAGATCTGATCAAAGAAACCGGGCTTTGCCTAATACCACAGGTAGATAGAATAAAATTTACTGGCAGACAGAGATTTATTATCATTATTTATATCCTGCCTTTCAGGATATACAAGTCCTTACAAAATGGTTTATAAGCGATATAGACAATTATAAATAAAAATGCAATAAATATTACTGAAAAAGAAAGAAACAACTAGAATATTCCCCACATGGCTGTTGAATGTAATAGTTATGGTAGGGTCTGGGAGGAAAAGTCTAGCTGAGAAGGCCTTCTTCCTTCTCTTTAATGAAAGTGACCATTTGGAGGATCTTTCATTTGATTACTATTAGCTTCAAAGTCATCTGAAGAAGGATTTCTGAAAATCATACTGTACTACTACTCAAATTATACAACAGAATTCATAGTTTGACTTTCAGTAATACAACTGACTAATGATGCTTTACTTTGCAATAAATAATTCAATTTAACTTAACCAGCTCATTAAACATGAATTGGCATACAAATTTTGCTAGATTTTGTTTAATTATCTTTTAAAAATGCTTTATTTCAGTGCTTTCTGCATTCCTAGTCAGATAGGCATTATTCCTAAATGAAAAATTCTTGCCTAACAAAGAGAGAAAAAAAGAAACTGCCTTGGGGGAGCAATCTCTTTTGCTGGGAGCTGTGGTAGTTTGTGGAGATGCACAGATTTATTATATAGGAAGATGGCTATATTTTTACTGATTTTATATGTTAGCTGCTCAGAATCATTGGAGTTAGGCAGTCTATAAATCTGAAATATAAATAGTTGAAATTAAGGTTAGTCTCAAAGAATATTTGGAAATGTATGCAGAAATATTTCCTTCCTTTGATCTATATTTATGTATTACTGATGGACACATTGGAAACAAAGGATATCCATCCCAGGTTTTGGGGAAGGTAACAAACTTAAAGAGTCAAACATAGTTTCAAATCAGCAGGATTTGTCACAAATACAACAAATGGAACATAAAATAATATGTCACTTTTTTTCCTAAAATATTTTTACTTACTAAATTATCCGTTTCTGGATCTTCACAAAAAAAGGGTTTTCCTTCCTTCTCCTGTTTCCTAACAAAGTTTTCAATATCTACATCAAAACTTGCAGATGTTGTGCCTTCCGAACCCTGTGTAGATTGTTCACATTTTTCAAATAACAGTGCTAATAAGGGAAACAGTGGGTGCCTAGGAATTAAAGATGAGCAAACTATAAGACTACAGAAATTCTATCTCTAAGTCAGTATGACAAAACATGTACAATCTGAACACTGCATACATAATAATAAAATAAATTACATTAGCAATTAAGGTGCTATGTATCCATCCCTAATCTAATCTGGAGTAATAAACTGCTCCTTTATTTACTGTGTCAATCTACTTGTGCATTGTCGAGAAGAAAACTACTGTATTCTCAATTGTAAGCTTTTGTATTTTTAATTTTTATTGTTATTTACTGTTATTTCATGTTCTGAGCACCAAGAGTTTGCTTATGACTGTGGTGGGATATAAATGTAATAAACATGAACATTTTAAAATAAATATTAGAACAGGACCTCTTAATCTGAAATTAAGATCACAAACCTTACTTAAGTGTGTTAAAGGCCCAGTGAAATCAACTAAATCTGTACTGCTATCCTATGCTTGTTCAGTAAATTGTCAGTCTCACTATCTTTAATAGAGCTTATTCTCTTGTAAACATGTAGAGCATTGACTTAAGTATGCAATAAAATGGCTGAATAATATGCATCTAACTTAATGAATAGAGAACTCAAAATACATAAAATGTTGGTTGGTGCGTTTGCTGTTAAATGTTTGAATGTAGGTTGCTTTTTAACAACTGATTTTACATTCTGGATGCCCTGGAACCAGTATCTATTCTATACTACACAATTTTATATTGACAGCGGAAATGAAAAATAGGCATACCTCACCTCTCTTAACAAAATAAAGTAGCAGGCATCCTCAACTTTGGTTAAAGTGGTGAAACACTGAGGAGTTTGGCTGCTGAGGGGAAGAAAGCTTCCAAATCCTATCCTTTATTGATTTTTGTATGGTCTCTTCCAACTGTGATTGCCTACTACATCCCAGAACTCCACCCTTTATTTGAGAACAATCACTCTACATACTGAAGACAGTAATATATTTTACTATTTAGATTGGACAACAGTACTACCTGTAAATAGCCTGCTTGTCTGCATCCATCGGTGTCTGAGACTCAACTGGGGAAGGACTCAATCCTCCTGCATCTGTTTCTAAGCAGTTTGGATCCTGCTCAGTTTTTAGTTCTGTTACTACTTGCATTTGCTGGAAAAGAAAGATGCTTTATAATGCCAGCTGTACTGAAAATGATTTGTTTTCCAAGCAAAGGGAAGAACAAATACCCTACTAAGTTGCCAGAAAGTTGCATGACTTGGCAACTATACAAAAAGCACAAGCAGTTAACAAAAATAGATAGATGGATATAGACATATGATCTTTCTTATATCTTCTCAGTGAGTAATTGTGGTTGATTCTAAATTGAAGATTTGAGCAATGATAATGTAACAGTCAGATCTATTAACAATCTCTCTCTATCTTGCCGTTGAGATACAAGGCAATAGAAAATCACTCCTATACTGTTACTAAGAAAGTTGCATGGACTTGTCCATACAATCAGCAGGAATCAAACTCAGTGTTACTTTTTACTTTACTAAGACTATTATACGTACATGTGTATGCAGGCCCAAAACATAAAATGTTTAAATATCCCTCCAATTAAAAAAAAACCACCCTTAATTATGAAGATAAATGTTTCAGATTATTACAAATCTATTATTTTTGGTATGGCACAGTATGTGAAAATGTGTGGAAACTGAAAACATAATTCAATCAGATAATACATAATCAGTTTAACTAGGTGAGCTGCATTGATTTGATCTAGAATTCTGTATGTCTGATTGTTGCCTTTCTTTGTTTTTCCCCCTATTTTCCCCTTTCCCCCATAAGCTCCTTATCTATAGCTTCAGTGGTTTAATATGGGAATTTCTTGTTAAAATCTTCTCCATGTATAACATTGCATAATAACACAACTACTCTTGTATTTCAACATTGGTATAAGGTTTGGGATTGGGCAGAAAAATCCAAAGCACGTTTCTTTCTACTTGCCTAGGGATTCATTAGTAGGAACTTCAGGACCTCCTCAGCTGAATGTGTCAGGAAGTTCAGGCTGACTGATGGCGGCCTATTATTTTTCTTTGAAAGAAGGGATGTGCCAGTGAGATTTAATTTAGCATCCTTCTTGGTTTGTAACACATTATAAATCCAAAGATATTATAGCTATTAATATATTTGGAATACAGATCCATCTTGTTACACAGCAAAAAGGTGAGCGATTTTAGTTTCTAAGCAATGGATAATAAAGTTATCCCCTAGCAAAAGGGCAGATTTTTATTAAAGTGGCCATAATTCATTTTAGGTAATGGAAGAAAACAGATCAGTGAAAAGGAAAAAACACAGTAAGTGAAACTCAACAATATCCTTATTTGGAAACAAAAATGTTATGATGAAAATAGAATCAATTTTAGTTATTCATTTATTCGATTTATATAGGCACCTATCTCATACATGTGACTCTGGGCGACTCACAGTCTTAAAACATCAAAAACAATAAACAAAATACCAATAAAAACAACATGATAAAAAAAACATACTAAAAACATTACTAAAACACACAATCAATGACTAAGCACAGACTATTCATAACATTCAATACAATTTTTTTTCCTGAATACATTTGGGGAGAGAACTTAAGTCAGCAGAGGCAAAAAGTCCCAGTTTAGTTCCTAACATCTTTACTTCAAATGACTATGTAAGAAGTTCTGGCATTCAGATTATACCTTGGTTACATTCACACCTCATGCCTACTCAGCCTTATTTTATTTTATTATCAACAATATACAGTACTGGTAAAAGAGTACTGATGATTCTTCCTGCTTGTTTTCTTCTGACAGCAAGAAAAGCTAAAACAAATTGCAGAAAGTCTTTCCAGGCATGATGTATGAATTTGGATTCTGGCTCTTTTACCCCTTCACAAGCCAGAGTTGAGAAAAGACATTAATTTGTTCTTGGCTTTTGATCTTTGATTGTTTGGTAAATAAAATTAGAAATTCAATTTACATATTGCACTAAACAAACAAGGAAGAAGCCCCTGTAATCTATTTAACTGTTCCTATTGGCAAGAGGAGTCAAGTAGACTGAGTTAATTTATTTAGCCCAGAATCATGAAGAGATAATTGGATATTATTCTAAAACATTATGCTTTTTAAAATTCAGCTGCCTCCTGACAAGCTTTCTGTAAACCGTGCAATAAAAGAAATGGATAATGTACAAGTCAGAAGCATGATTTGTGCATACCTATAGATAATCCGTATCATATGAACTTTTGTAAAAAAAATGTCTTACTTGTTGCCCATCTTGATAGTTGTCTATACTTAATGTCTGCGTTGCCATCATGGTTACTGAGAGTTGCTTTAAAGTCAAATCATATCTTAGTTCAAATTTTCTGCCGAAAAGAAACCATAAAGAATATTAATATTTTTAAAGAAAGCTATACGATTATTGAAATCTACATACAGTATGCAGTTGCAAAATGTATTCTTTCAAATACCATTTCATATGCCAGTTACTGTCACAAAATATTGATAACAGTAATTTGTATCCAAATTTCACATGTATTTTCACATGCTAAAATAAACATGAATAGAAATGTACCACAAAAATATCTAATATAACACAAATCTTTCCGGGATTTGGAAAATGTTCTTTCAGATTATTCCCTGTTGAAGGAATATAGATACTGGTCCAGTCATGGGACCAGATGGCACAACAAATTGGTTCATTTTAAATCCATGCTAGCCCACTAGTGTACACTTTCTCTGAAAACTACATAGCAAATTTTAAAATGCCCAATGGCTAAACTAGGGCATAAGGATTAAGTTCATGATATCTCTCACATACAACCACAACCCTTTTGTATTTATGTGCTGTCACGTTCACAGGCACCCATCCACCTATAACTATCTTGATTCCTCTCTCTCACATTCATCATGTCCTTGATTTGAAAAATTTTGATTCACACATCCAGTCCAGCTGCATATTTTCCCCATGTGGTTCTGAAAATGGCCATATACAGGCTAGAAGCAGCCATTTTTGCTATCATAAGGGCATTTTTTTCAGTCACCACAGCTTATATCTGTATACCACCTGGTTCATACAGTTTACATGCATGAGTCAGTCCACAGAGGTAGATAACACCCAGTCTCTGGTGTTAAGCAAATATGTATACTGTACTAAAATGTGGAAAAATATGGGGTTTTTCAGACATTAAAGAAAACATGCAGAAGTAGCTACATGAAGATATTCTATATCAGAAAATATAAATAGGTTTAGAGCCATTAACTTATAGGATAATTTCCATCCAATAAATTTCTCTTCCTTCATTTTATAACGTCTTACACATTTTCAAAACGCTCCAAAGTCTCAAAGTAAAACAGCATTGGAAGGAAGGAAGAATCTTCGGGGGTTCTTTTGCTTTCTCATTGACATTCAATAGATACAGGAGTTGAAAATAAAACAAAACAGGAAGTTATCAGCTCAGAAGGAACCACAGAGATGTCATAACTGGTCAACACCAATGCAGGAAAATCTGCATTGCATTCAGATAATGTTTAACAGTTTTTAAAACAGAGAACTTCAGTTTATAGAAATATAATACTGTCAGACAGATATATTATCAAGGAACCCATCAAGTGAAAGATATTGTCTGTGGCAGTACCCATCACTGTAGTATCATTGTTTCCCAACTAGATGACTAAATCTCTCACCAAGCTCGCCACTGAGCCTATCAATGTGCGTGTCTTCTCTCTTTCTGTGATGATACTATTGTCTTATTCTCGAAAGTGCTTACTAACTGCTGAAACTAGAAGTGTTAAATGAACCTGCCCTGTATTTTTTAGTTTTGCATGGAAATGTAATTCAAACAAATCCTTTTCACGAAGAGCAGGATGCAGTTTTTTAAAAAGGCCAAGTTCTAGTGATGAGCGGGATGAATGTATCAATATGAGAGACATACAAGAACATGAACAGATTCCCTCAAAATGTAAACTTTATCATATAATGCTTCTCTATTTTCAGCGGCTCTCTCTCGAGACATCAATGGAAAAATCTCCCAACTGCAATCTTTAGGTACGTAGATGCGCAAGGCATTACACTGAAAATAATTTGGCTGATAGCTAGTAAAAGAAATTCCAAAAGACTCTTGGTTAGGTCCAGTGGAATTTCCCCTCCACTTTATCAATTTGATAAAATGACACTGATCAGCAAGGCATTTGCTTTTGGATTTCCTTATCATAAGATAAATAGTGCTTACCAATCAATGCTCTCCCTACTTCCTAGCAATAACCTCCAGCTTTTCAGCTACTTGTCATACTGCCCCTATGGTATTCATTTCTTGGGAAGGGTATGCATAGGTGAGTAGCATGGCAATTTTCATTAATTTGAACTAGTTATAACCATAGAAGCAACAGGACAATTGCTTTTTAACTGTTTGACACTTCTAGTAAGAGAATCTGGGAAATACAACCCACAGATTTTCATCTTTAGTGGAAGGAGGGAAAAAAAACCCAACAACCAGCACATAATTTTCCCCCAAAATTCATACTGGAGATACTGATCAAATGAAAATAAATGTTTATGAGAGGAAAAAGAAAGTATATCAAAATAGAAATTATAGACTTCAAAATAATTAGATGATTGTAACAGAGGGATAAGAAAATATTAGGAAGAGAAAAAAGCTTGCAGTTTTACAATTGTTTAATGTATTTAGAGAAACAGGAAAAGAATGGTAAAAGACTATGCATACGACTTTCAATAGTTTCAAAAGTTAAATTAAGAAAATGAAACATTTAAGACAATACCATCATATATTTTAGAGAAAATAACAAATGCCTTGGCATGAGCAAAGAAATAAGCATAACAGATTTAAATTATTTTCATTAAAATGGAAAACCTTTTAAAAATGATGTACTTTTTACAGTTCAGTCATAATTTATAATCTGAATTCTAAGTAGTTCTAAATTCAGAGGAAAGAAGAATATTCAAATTTGAAACCTGAAATTAGTTCCATAATTATATTCTTTTAAAATTTCAGTTCACTTTCTGATGACAAATCTTAACATCACAAGTTTTTGAATATGAGAGATTAAAACTGTAGCATTTGAAGACCTTAGATGACATCCAGTAACAACTCATGGTGTAACTAGTATGTGACTATAGGTGCTATGGATCCACTGATGTCACATAGCACATTTCTCCAACTTAGTTTATTGTGGGCGAGTTGTTTTATTTCTATTGGGTTGAATCTAAGCTTTGCTAGATCCTCTTACAAAACTTCACCCAAGTTTTCTTTGGAACTGATTGCTGTATTTTACAACCAATAGGATGTGATTTCCAGAGCAATCGATAAGAAAGCAAACATGGAACTATGTGGCAGATGTTGCCAAACGACTGCATTTGTGCTTCAGTTTTTCATCCATTATCATAGGTTGGTTGCAGCACCATTCTTTAACTGTTTCATTTTGTATTTTGTCACAGATTGAAATACCTAATATTCATTGTAGGCAGTACATTTGGAAAACTTCTAGATTTTCCACATCATTTTGAAGCAAAGTCCATGCATCATCATCAATAGAATTAATGATCAATAGATAAGCATATTGGTAGCAATGCTTCTGCTGCTTTTTTGCCAGAGGTACCATATCAATGCTTGAAAGGCTGAGGCAGCTTGGCAAATTTGATTGTTGATATTGGCTGATATTTTCTGTTCTTGGACAGCAGAGCCAAAGTATTAAAATTGTTGAATTTGTTCAAACTTAGCTTCATCTAAGTGGATGGCAAAGTCTTTCATTATGATTGCGTGGATCACTATATTAAACAGCAAGGGAGATGCAACAGTGCCCTGCCTCACACCGGTACATGCGGGCATTTTATCACGAACAGAATTTCATGATTCCTCATACAGCTACTCCAGGAGGCTAGATGAGGCTATTTCAGCATCATCTGCAGTCAGTACCACTGAAAGACACTGTCAAATGCTGCTGCAAAGTCTACGAACACAGTGATGAGCTTCTTTCCACACCTGATATGTTCCTCCAATAATTGTCATGGTACACATATTTGGTCACATCTCTTCCAGGCCAGAAACCATTCTGTTCTTGGGGTAGTTGTTTTCATTCTGAAACCATTTTTGGATACTTTATTTTCATAAATACCTTACCCCCAAATGACAAAAGGCTAATATGTTCCTTCTTAATTATACTGGATTGTCCACCCTATTTTTTTAATGCTAGTTTCCTACTGTAAATCGGGGTACAAGAATTAGTGTGGCAAATAGTAGCATTTAAAAATATTGTAGACAATCCAATCCAACTAGGAAGAAACATGCTTTATACCATTCTTTCAAAAACTGGAACTTAGAATAGCTGGGTTTATCCCCTGCACCAAACCAGGTTTTTTAACACTGGTGGCAGAATAAAACATAGTGGACCTATTTCTCTACAATGCTAAGCCACAATATAAATGAAATGACTTCTAAGCTGTATTTTAAAGTATTATAATTTTATACTAGACATATATTGCGATATGACTAGTCTTATAACAACTTTAAATTTATACATTATTAAAGGAATATGAACAGAAAACTAAATCCCATTAAGAATATGGAAAATGAATTTGAATTAGTATTTTCATAACTCTAAAATTCATTAAATTAATAGCCAGTCTTTCATTCAGGAGCAAAGTTTTATTTATTTATTGAATTTATATGGCTACCACTTGACATATTATTATGGATAGCAAACAGCAGGTTAAAAATAAAGGCATCAACAAAAACACATCACACTTGGATGTTCCACTCCTGGAGCAGCATTCATATCCATATCAATACAACACCCCCCCCCTTTCAAATGGGCTTACCTAGCTGCCTGCCCCAGTGCCTGAGAAAAAAAGCAAGTTTGTGGTGCCTTACAAAAGGGCGAGAACCATTTGAATCTCAGGTGGTATGCTGTTCCACACAACACGGTATGGCAACAACAACAAAAAAAGCCTATTTCCTAGGTCCCATCAGATAGACTGATTGATTCATTGAATTTTTATGCTGCCCATCTCCCCCAACAGGTGACTCTGGGTGGCTCACAATTAAAACCAAAAACCCAAGCCGTTAAAAAACAATACTATATAAATAATTAAAATTAATTAATCAATTAAAATCCAACTATAAAACAACCCTATTCATAAATACTAAAAAACATTCAAGATGACGGAGGGGGCAAGGCAAATTACCCCACAAGCCACTTCCACTGGTGGGAGCCCTCATCCGGCCCCCAGGCCTTCTGGCATAGCCAGGTTTTCATGCCTTTCCTGAAGGCCATTAGAGTGGGGGCACACCGCACCTCAAGAGGTAGGTTGTTCCACAGAGCAGGGGCCACCACAGAAAAGGCCCTCTTCCTAGATCCCACCAGTAAAAATTCCTTGACTGGTGGGGTCTGCAACATGCCCCTTCTGCTGGACCAAGTGGGGCGGGCTGATATAACAGGGGCAAGATGGCTCCTCAGATAACCTGGTCCCATGCCACAAAGGGCTTTAAAGGTGATAACCAATGCAAGGTGATTTCATTGTTTAACCAAAAGGACCCTGAGCATTCCACTCTGTTAGATCTGATGACACAGGCAAAAATACCTGGATAAAGTTGGTCCTGCAAATTACCAGGCCCTGTGCCATGAAGGGCTTAGTAGGTGACAATCAGCACTTTGAAATGCATCCAATAAAATTGGGCCTTATATCAACATTAAAGATGGAATTGCAAACAATTAGGTATAGAATCCTATTTAGAAATACGATTACATTGTATTTAAAAACAGCAGCCAGTATTTCTGAATTCTTTTGCAAACAAAATATTTTAGATAATTTAATAATTTATGCCAAAATACCATGTTATACTTGTGATCCAAATTAAACTCATTTACTCATTCCACAAAGCACTTTTCTTCATTGGCTTCCCAGAGGAAGCATATTCTGCGCATGCACACACATGCCCAGAAGATCTCAAGAGGACCACATAGTAGCCATGCCTGGATCTGCTCCTTGAAGTTGCAGCTGCTCCAAAACTCAGAGCAGCTGCTTTGAAGCCCTCCCAAAAAGTTCTATGAGGATATGTAGATACTCTTCTGCTGGGATGGCAGATGAAGCAAAGCAGGAAAGTGTCTTGTAGAATAATTTTCAGTTAACTATTAAATACTTTGACTTCGTCAGTGGGATAGGTGTAGCACAAAACACAAAACTATGGTCCTTTTATAGACAGTAGATGATAGTCTTGTAAGCAAGTTATACTTATTCTATTTGAACTGGAGTCTGCCCATTGTAAACAATGCAAAAACAAGTTACTCTTAGCTTCTTCAAGGAATTAAATATTTTTATTAGTGGAAATACAAGCTCAGTTACAAGAGAAAACAATTAAACATTATGTAATTTGATTCCTTAGTTACTTTTTATTTTGATGCTGCCATTATATCATGTTTATATGTTACTTATCTGTTAGTATATTATGCTATTGTTCAAGGAGTTCATTCAATGGATTTTACTTGGGAATAAATTGCTACTGACTCAGCACATCTTGTTTCCAACTGGCCCTGAATACAGCATTCATAAACTGATATATCAAATCATAGTTTGACTCAAGAAACCAGGGTTTGAACATTCTTGCTCAATTCCCTTTGACTAGAATATGTATATTCTCATTTAAGCATCATCCAGTGAACATTATCTGTGTGGGCCCCCAACTCAACCAATAGTCCAAGTAACTGAAGCCTGAATACTTACTTCAAATCTATCACTTAAGTATGCTTTAAAAATATTTTATATTAACATTGAATGTAAAGTTGAAGGTACTGTCAGAAAAATTATTACATTATTTTAATAAAGTATCATAGACAAATTGTGTACACAGGTTCCCAATGATGGCAGTTATGATTCCTAAAACAGTAGCTCCAAAAGTTGTAATTTTTAATAGGTTAAGAAAATCACAATTGGAAAGTGATCATTACTGCTAAGGGTTTTATTTTAATTAAATGTAAATATAAATGTAAACATAAATCACATCAAATTTAGTTTTTGCCTGGCTCTACTTACTGCTTTTTGGATGTGGCCATCAGCACAACACTCAAAGACCAAATGTAAGGCCACAAACAGTTGTGCATCCTTGGTGAAAGGATATTGTATTCTGCAAGAAAGCCCAGTCCACACCTCAACATTTTGTTACATATTCCATTTTTTAAAAAAATGCCTTATACATAGCATTTAGAATTTTAAAAAATGAGGCCAAGTAACTGAAAAAATTTTTTAAATTTGAATTGTCATCTCAAGTAGCAAGTTACAATAAAATGGTGCTCCTAAAGGATACCAATGTATCATTTCCTTGTACCTTCCTTATTCGCCTCATTGTCTTGTAATTACAACAACGTATTTAATGTACTCCTATAATAATTTTAACAATGAGACTCTTAGTCATAAATTGTTAAACTGTGAAACTGGAAAAGGGGCTATAAAATGAGAGTGTATTTCAGGATGAACAATGAAAAGTACTGTATGAAAATGAGTGTTCATAATACAGCGAGTTAGGGTCTAAGCTAAAAGCAGTAAGATGAACATATATGAAAATAATAATAATAATAATAATAATAATAATAATATGTTCATCTTACTGCTTATTATTGTTGTTATTATTTAAACTTGTATGCTGCCTGACTCTGAACAACTCGGCAGCTCACAACAAACAAAGAAATGCATTACTTCTGAATTGTTTATTTATTATTAGATTGATACCCTGCCTTTCAAAGTCAATTCTGGGGAAAATTAATGGGAATTCAATTGATTTTTGCTGTCCTATTTTTTAGAATTTAATACTGCAAATTTATATTTGTCAGAGCTTCAATATTCTGCTTTGCTCAATGAAGTTGAGAATAAATTCCTTTAAGCAAGCAAAGTTTACTATTCTATGTAGGCACTGTATTGCTGAGTTTAGGATGAAAAAAGCAATTAGCATCATTTCTAGCCAATGCTAGACTAAAACACAGTGATAACTTGTAGCTCAGTAAGATTACCCACACCTACAAGCCTCATTCTTTAGTACATGAGCATTCAGGAATCTTTCCTTATTCCATTTATCTGCAATGTTTACCAGGACACTAAGCACTACACAGCACTTTGAATTCAATCCCCAAAAGTTTTTTTCAAAATGCATCAAATGTAGCATCTGTCTGCAATACCTTAAAGTAACCATATCTTTTTTTTTTCAGATCAATCCCAGGAAAAGATACAGTTCTTTTAAGGTGTTGCAAACTGATGCTACATTTCATTTCCACCCATTCCAAAGCACCTATTGAAGATTAAATCTGAAGCACTTCGCAGCCCTATTCAGCATCCTGAGCATCTTAGTTTCAAGACTTTATTCTAACATTTAGCATTGGAAGACTATAAAATGCCATGTGTGACTTTAGCATGACTCGATGTTTCCAAGAACGGAGGATTTCTTCAGCCCCTTATATATCCTCAGTGCCACCGGCCTCCATTTGTCTATCAAAAGATGAAAACAATTCTCACTGAGATTTCAGGAGCTACTGATGAACAATTAAATAAGATTTCTTGAATAAGAACTTGATTGTTATGCCCTGTATTACTTTTTCTCCCAGCTGGAGAAAATTTTGTACAAAATTAGCTAATACATATCTATCTGCTACATTTATACATATTAAAGTTCCATTTTTCTCCAAGCAGAAAAATTGTGGTTTGAAACAAGTCTCTGATATTTTAGTGTAACACAGAACATTACACTTCCAGTGAAAACTGTAGGCATGTGTAATGGTCATGTGTGCAATAAACTGCAAATGTCACTTTGATTAATAAAGTTCTATTAGGTAAATTTCAATGTCTGTATTTAGCATTTACACTATGAATCCTTCAAAATCCCTGCTTTCTTAAACCTAATTCAGCATCATCATTTGTATTATTGCTGTTCTTGGTACCCAAAATCAAAATAAAGGGATCTAAAACATCAAGTGTGCATATTGGGTGAAGGTTCTTAGTATAACTTTGAAAGATAGAGTTTGTTCACACATTTAAATGCTTAATGTCGTGGCTAATGAACTGGAAAACTGGCATTCTTTTTCAAGTTCCAATCTTCAACTACCACAATAAACAGGGTTAGTGAACCGGTATCACAGAATGTTTACCAACATCAAACAGGGCAAAAAGTACACATTACCTGCTCACATACTCAACACTTGGTACTTGAATCAAGGAATATTTCTTTTTTCCAGTTGTGCCAAGCTCTGGCATTAACGTCATTTAGTGCCATTTTCAATTTAGCCAGGGGATACAAATTCGTGGGAGACTGCCTGCTCATTTGAAAATGTATTATATACATCCCTTTTGAGAAGTGGGGTGGAGAGAATGCGAAATACATATTCCTGGTTTTTGCATGACTGAAAACTGGTCGCTGAGCAAACACGCGAAAACGGCTCAGAAACAAAGGGGAGATAAAACTCCTCTCCATGTTTATTGTTGACAACCAGATTACATAACAACAATCCCCTCGAATTTCCTAACAGTTCACTATGAATCCCCCACGTCAGTTCATGTGCAAAAGGGGGATTGTTTCAAGCTACGAAAAAGCAGCTGGGAACCTCTGAAAAAACGGGGGGGGGAGGGGGCTCTCCCCTCACGCCTGAGCGAGGAGAGCAGGCTAAGGAGCCCGAGCACGTTCGAGGAAGGAAAGAGGCGAGCGAGGAAAAGCAGCCGTGGGGGAAACCCCGCTGGTTGTTCAATTGCTCTCCAGCTGCTTCTTCAGGTCTACAGGAATGTCCCCGAAAACGGCCCCTTTAAATACCGCCCTCGCGGCTCCCCCACACGCCCCCGCGTCGCACCGCGAACAGCTGCTGCCCTTTTCTCTCCCCCTCCCACTCCTCCACCCCGAGGCGCGCGACACCTTCCCCTCCTCGGTGCGCGCGCCGCCGCCGCCGCCGCCTCCTCCTACAAAAGCAACGGCCAGTCGGCGGCTGTTCCAGAAACTTCCTCACTCCCCCTCCCTTTCCTTCCTCGCTCCAGACCGCCGACGCCCCTAACCCCCCTCCGGGTAAGTTACGGTGCGGATGCCCCTGTCCCGCTTTTCCATGTTGCGGACTCGCCTCCCCCCATGCTCCCCCACGTCCCGGATCTGTTGGCGCGGCCGAGCCAAGCCGGCCGATACTGGCGGCGGGCGCGCCGTGATGGATGGCTGGCTGGCTAAGAGCAGGTTTGAGTGACAGCGCTTACCTGGGTGCCAATCTTCGTCACACTGACAAGCGGCTGCAGCAATCGGGACCCGCACCGCCGCGACGCGCGTCACCACGCATACACGGCCTTGTCCAATTGCAGGGCGCGCCAGGCGAGACGACAACACGCTTCGAAAGACGCCTCATCAATATTCAGCAAGGGAGCGGGGCACGTCGTGTTCTTAGATACGCCCACTCCGAGGCACGCCATGGTGAAGGGGCGGGGTGGCGAGGGAAGTACCGTCCCCTTGGGCTTGGGCGCGCGGCTGAAATCCCTTTATGAATACTCATAAGGTGGGGGGGCGCCACCCACCTCCCTTAGCTTAGGAGGTGGAAGAAGTTGTTTCCTAGTAGCTCCGCCGGGGATTTGAGGGAGGAAGTGGCGAGGAAACGCTCCGTTCCTTGGAGCCATCGATCCAGGCCGAAGGCGCATATGACGTCACATAGTCTTGCAGCTGCTTTTTTTTCCCCCTGCATTTGAGATGGCCGGGGTAATCCTGCTGGCTGGGATGTAATACAATCCGCAGGGTGTGAGAGGAGCTGTTTCGGATGGCTTCGGTTCGTTTTGCTTGGTGCTTCGCGCCCCCGTTCTCCCGAAGCTTGCCTTATTTTTCTTTTTTTCCTCCCGTACTAAAGTCGTCTCCAGACGATACAAGAGATCCGGGAAAAAAAAACAAAAAAAACCATGGGCAGCTCGAAGTCTCCTTCCATTCAGGATTCTGGTAGAGATCGATAGTGGGGATTTGTTGTTATTTTTGTTTGGTGGATTTGCCCTTTGGGTGCATTCGCGACTGACTGTTGCTTGGTTTCGCGTAACACAATAAACTATAACGAGACTGGCTCGGTTTCCCTAATACATCATCTTAATATCCTAAGAACCCCAGCCACTGAGTCGGGAGGTTAGTTTGCAGAATTCGAAGAAAAATGCTTCCAAAAGATTGCAGCTCATTTTTTTTTAAAGTAACCATAGCTAGGTATATATCTATAGATACTTTCTAAAATGTCTGTGGGTAATGACAAAGCTATAAAACTTTTGCAGCATTCCCAAAGCTTAATTTGTCAGCTACAAAAACTGAATATAAGAGAGTAAATGCAAATATGCTATTTAGAAATGTTACACATTTTTAAGGCTATGATAACAATCTAAAGCAAGACAACTACATAAATTGTCTAACACTGCCCAGTTGACAATTGTAATTAACTAATACATGTATGGCACACACACACACACACAAGATTTTATTCCTTTCTTAAGAAGTTAAGATAGTACTGTATGGTGATTATATGGTTTCCCCAAAGGAATTGTTAAAAATTGCTTAAAATTCAATAGAATCATGATATAATTTCACCTTACACATATTTATATAGTGTACATAACAAGGATCATATAAAAGTGAGAGGAACTTTGTGGAATCAGTTCCTTTTTACCACTCTCACTTTCAATACAAGAAAAGGTGAATAAAAATAACCAATTCCTTAATTGGTACAGGTAGTCCTCGGGTTACGACCACTCATTCAGCAACTGTTCAAAGTTATGATGGTGCTGCATGAGCGGTACTTACTACCAGTCCTCAAAATTCCAGCTGTTGCAGCACCCTCACAGTCACATGATTACGATTTGGGCGGTTGGCAACCTGCTCACATGACAGTTGTAGTGACCCATAGTCACCTGAATGCCATTTGTGACCTTCCCTGCTGGCTTCCCCATTGATTTTGTTTGTGGGAAGCTGGCAGGGAAGGTTGCAAGCCACTTCTGTAAGTTGCTCCTGCCACTTTTTCTCCTGAGGAGCCGTGCTACGGTGTACGAAATCCCAGAGATCTCGTACTCTGTAGCACCCCCTGCCATGCACCCACAGCATCCCCCTGCCAGCCTGTGGCCCCCGCTGGCCTGCCTGCGCTCTGTAGCACCCACCTGCAGGTCCAGCTGACCTGCCCTCATAGCACTTGCCCGTGGCATCCCCCACCCCCTGCAGCATCTGTGCACCCCTCCATGCTTCCTGCTTGGGACCCCCACCTCTTCCCACTTAACAACCCACACAGTCCTGGGGTTTTGATGGCAACTGAGACTGCCGGGATTGCTGTCGCTAAGCAATGCAGTCACATGATGTTGCACTTTATGACTGCATCGCTTAGTGACAGATGTTCCGGTCCCAGTTGCCATTGTAACCTGTACTGATATATATTCTTTCCTGCCTGTTTTAGCTGTTCAGCATAGGGAAATCTATACTGTGAATGAAGCATAAATCTGATCGTATCTGCTGTTGCCTATGAAAAAAACGCAATCTTCAACTTGAATTTGACTCCTGATCACTTCATTGATGTGTCCATATAGGTGGAAGGCTCAATTACAATAAAGTAGTTCATGTCCAAAGTATCCCAACAGTTCTTATGTTTGTCACATCAATGTATAGATTCTAAAGATCTGAAATAAGGGACTATTCAGTAACCAAGTGTTAGAAGTTATTAATTCCTGCAGTGTTCAAGTGTTCTGTTCATAAGACAGTTCTTTCCTTCTAATCAGCAGAATGAACAATTAAGCTGTTGCTCATCTTGAGACTTTTGAAATAAATAGGGCATATGAACAAATTAGCCACCACCATATTCCTTAATAGGCTTAAGGAAATCAAACACTTTGAAGTATAGAGGAAGCATCATTGAGAGCAACCTTGTGATATGATTTTTTTTAGCAAGGCTCCACTTTACTATGTGCCTATATATTGTAACAATCATTTTATCGGATAAATAGTAGCCATGATTATGATAATAAAAATACAGGTATCAGATCCCTAGAGATTATATCTTTGTAGGACTAACTGAAATAACAAATGGTTCAGGCTGTTGAGTTTCAGGAGTTTATCGGGCACATTTGTTAAAAGGTGGGGAAAACCTGGATGATCACGGAGCCATATCTGTATCAGCTTAACTTGTCGGATAGAGTGATCATGAGCCTTCCATCATGCAGATTGGGGTTTGAGAAACCAGGTAGTGCGGTTGCAATAAAGGCTCACCTAAAGGTTGCTGGAAATAAGCAATAAATGTAAATTTCCCATTTTTGGAAAAAGAAATTCCACTAGTCAAAAATGCTTCCATTCTGAGATTTTTTTACCCCCCTTAGTAGTATACCTGAATTTTATTTCTTGGCTTTGAACGGATCAAGCAGCTGGTTCTAGGAAATCAAGCATAATAACGCCCAGAGTCACTTTGTGAGATAGATGGCTATATAAATGTGATGTATAAATAAGTAAATAAAATAAAATATGTTCACAGCTAACAAAATTGGGGTAGCCACTTAAATGAAAATGTAAATTACAGTCCTTTAAACATAATAATGCTAACTGTAATCTGTTCTGCTATCTTGTGGTGCAATAATTGATTATGTGCCATTAAATCATTTTTGATTCCTAACAACCACATAGATTTTCTCCATGAAAATAATAATATATCATAATATCACTGCTATAATATCTCAGAAGAGTATGCATAGGATTGCAACCTTAATGATTATATATACTACAGTACTATAACTTTTAAGTAGGAAAAACTATTGTTCAGCTATTTTGGGGACTAAAGCAGGCACTTGGCATTACTGGAAGTTTCTTTGCATTGGCAAAGGGATATCATGATAGTTCGAATTAATGGACAGATTTAAGATCTGTTTTCAATAAGAGGTCCTGTGGTTGATTTTTGTAATGCGGTATGATTGGAATATTAATTCTAAGTGTCTCTTCCTGTTCCAAAATAGCAAAACATATACATCTTATGCAAAAGGCAAAATAAGAGCATAAAGTAAAAACACAGTCAGTGTAATCATACTGGCTTAACTCCCTTTTGCCAAGTGCCTGTCCAAAATGAAAATGGGCTGGCATTGATGTTGGAAAATGCTTGGCTGACGCATTTCTCAAGGAGATCAGAGGCAGTTGCTGTGATTGCCTCTCCAAGTGCCCTTGACCTTCATACGTTTTATGCTGCTAGTATTGCAATAACAGTTTTAGTAGATCCTGATAATCAAACTGAGAAGAAGAGATAATCTATAGTAAATACAGTATGAAGACATTTTCAGATTTTCATTAAATTTGCATAATTTTGCATGAGCAGAATGAAATGCTAATTCTAATCAACATTATTATAGACTTGCCAGAATTTTTGAAATGGGAAGGTGGGATAAATATAATAAGTAACAACATTAGGTCATCTTATTTCCAGCTTTATTCCTAATCCTGTATCCAGGAATATGAAAATTATAAACCCAAGCGGTATATTTTTGTTTACTGTTTACTACTGCTAATAATGCATAGTAAACCATTGTTTACTAATGTCACCTAGATCATAATACGCATGGTTAAAATGATTAGGAGTGGGATTCTAGGTACCCTCTTCTACATATAGAGGGACTCTATCTACAGAAAGGGAAAAACTATTTTATTTCAGTTTATCTTTGTTGTATAAACTCTACCAGTTGTAGTTTATTTAGTAAATTATGACTAAACACTTAATATTTTAGCTTGTAGGATCATCAACCAAAACATCAATCTCCTTACCCCAGTCAGTACAGTGTAAAATACCACAATATAGATTTCTTAAAATTAAGCTAGACTGGAATCCAAAGGTAAGAATGAAATTCAAGTCCTCT